GTTTATGTCACTGAAAAAGGATAAAACTTAATCTTTGCCAGTAATTTAAAAACTTTTAATTGGACAAACTAAATAAAATCCTTGTTTCTGCATATGTGTACATATATGTGTACGTGGATGTGTACGTGTCTGCATGTTCATGTCTGTGTGTGTTTGTGCTGTCTGCATGGTGCCAGGTTGGCTTGTAATTAGTGTGTGCTCATTGGATGGATGAGTGTACTTTTCAAGTTCACATGACTTTAATTTTCTAAAATTGCTGATAAAATAAATATATTTCAAAATTTGATTTAAACCTTTTGCCTAAATTTGTCTTTAGGTCAGCACATTTTGTGGTATCTTTAATGCTTGTTTAATTAGTTCAAGGAACAAAAGCTATAAGAAATCTGGCTTCTGGGCTTCTCCCATAGCCTTGCACATGTCTCGTTATTAACTTGTTTTTGATTTTAAGCCTCTAAATACACCAAGTTTTTGGCTGGGAAACCACAAATATTGATTTGGTAAAAATAGCTGGGGCTCAAACTGGGCTTTATGTAATCTGCTCTGACAAATGGACCCCTATTTACTAACCTGAAAGTATAAAAATGTTCTTATCAATACATATTGTTGACTGGGTTTACTAATCAAACAGGATACATTTGTCTTTGCTAAAAGCTTTTTAGTCGTAAACCCCACCAAAACCAAAAACAAACAAAAAAGACACCTTTCTATATATAATTTTTAAAGAAATTAGGACAACTTAACATTGATAAAAAAGAAACAAGTACGTAAAAAGAAAGTAATTTAAGGAAGGCTATAGATGTGGGATATGGTTATGATTGGAGGGGCTAGAGAGAAGGAAAAATAATTTTTATGTGAGAAAGCATCTGGTACAGTGTATTTTTGTCCTAGAGTAAAATGACTGGCTATTTAGAAAGTAGGAAGTATAATGCAAAAAAAAAGAATGTCTGAGTAAGTCATGATAATGGTTTATGTAGATAAGTTTGTTAAAAGGGTTTTACAGTAAAAAAAAAATTAACTGGATTTAAAAACAAATTATGTGTGAGTTTTTCTAAAAGTTTAATGTCAAAAGTATTCTGATGCAGGGTTAGAGTTTGCTCTCCTGCTATGGAACAACTAGATTTCCTAAAAGCACTTAACTGCTCTTCATAAAAAATCGTAAGAGATTTTCTTTATCTTTTAGATAACTGGCCTAGACATGATAATTTCTTGTGCTCTCTGCCTTTGAAATCCTTTGTCATTGTGGTTTTATTTTTATAATGATTTTTGATCCTATCTAATTGAATGTTTCAGACCTTTATTTCACAAATTTTTCAAAACCCAATTCTAAAAGCTCAACCTTTTAACTTTAACTTTGAGAACTCTGGAGCTTCTCAAAGGAGATATATATATATATCTCAAAGTTAAAAGGTTGAGTTTTATACGTATATATATGTATGAGACATATCAAAACTAATTGGCTTATATAATAAATTAGCCTATATGGGAAAGTGTTGTAAATACTGAAATGTTATTAATATATGTTCCCAAATCTTGTAAGTGTCTTAAATCTATGTCTTATAAAATGCTATCAATCATAATCTTGGTTCAATTATAATTTTAAAATGTTATGTCTTCAAATATTTTATGAAAAAGTCTGACAGATACAGTTTCCTGACAAATTTTGGTTAATACCTTTAAACTAAATTTCCAAAATCCTAGTAAAGAAACTGATGGGTTTGTAAAATTACTCACCAAGGTCAAAACAACAAAAGTTAATTACATAAAACTAATAAACTGATTAAAAAGAATTATGGGTTTTTACAATTTATTTATTTTGAAACACTGCTAGTTCTCTTAATGTTTTGTTTTCCAGATCCAGATTTTAAAAAATATTTTAAGGTATAACAGCTTGCTGAGGTATATGTTTATGAACAAAAATTGAAACATTTATTTTTCTCTCTACTTGATCCCTCCAAGATTTTAAAACGATTCATGAGTGCTGTCATTTTATAACAATATTGTTATTAACATAAGTTCAATAAAGATCTCTTCTTCTTATAACAGGACACAATTCAAAACACTGGTTATTTTACCTAGGATTTAATTGAAATGTTATGCTTTCAGACATGACCAAACTGCCCTGCCACTGCCTACTAACAGGACCACAATAGTTAAAACCTGTTGAATTGTTACTATGGGGAAGGGGGTCTTCTGTTCTTTCTCCTACAGGCACTTTGGATACCAACAAAGGCCATTTGCCCCTGTTGTGTGGCACCATGTGAAAACAAATCCAATTTCAGAACTCCAGAATCACGTAACCATAAATTCCTAAGGTCCAGAGGTAACATGCCTGTTTCATAATCTATGGGCTTTTCCTTTTTATTCAGCCTTCTATAAGTAATGATATTTACTAGACCCATGTTTTAAATCCTCCTGTTTTTATACTACTTACTTGGGGTGATTCAGAGCCTCCTCTTTCATCTAATGATACTGCTTACATTGCAGGTCTCCTGGTACATTACAAGTTTACAAAATCAATTGTAGTACTAATTTTACTGCTAGCAACTTTTACATTCCCTTTCAACCACAATGGTATATAAATCATATTTTTACAGCTTTTAATTGTATTATAGCTGTAAAACATCACATACTTATTCAAACTACTAAAGTTAGTAGAAATTCTAAATAAAAAATAATCATCTTAAACCCAATATTCCTGTTTGTTCTCACCCCTGGATTGCTATTGGAAATGGTCTGGACTTTAATTGGTTCTCTTGCCATTCAAGTAATTTTACAAAAAATAAATTATGTTGGATAACTAATGTTACCAATGGCTAAGTTTTGATCCATATATATTTGCCATCTCCCCTACACTTTAATGTCTCTAATCTTAATATTTCTCATATGTTTACAGTAATACAGGATATCACTCTATGTGTATAACTTCTATTCCTTTTAATTCCTCCATTGCATAAAAAGATGTACAAAAACTTTTACATGGAACTTTTCATTCTGATTTACATGGAGATATTCAAAATGTAATAATTAAACTTCAACAACTAATGACACAGCTTCAAGAAGAGGCTCAAAAGATTACTATTAATCATTTAAATGATTTGGCCCATTGGCTTAATCATACCCATTGTTTTTCTGGTTTAAATATAAGAATTTAGATTATTGCTGGAATTAGTGCCTTATGCATCTTATGTTTTCTTATAGTGATTAAACTGTTATGTTCCATGTTCCAATGGACTCATCAGGCTGAAGTAATGCTGACTGTTCTTCAGCAGAACACCTTTGACTCTGACTCCCTCATCACTTCCAATTTTTATAATAATAATAACAAGGTGGGGAGATGTAGTGGGTTAGAAATCTTGATTCTCCTTTGATCTTAGAATAGGATTTTTAGGTAATGAATGAATGAGCCAAAAGGTTCTTGAATAAGGGACAAAAGTCCACAGATAAGGTTGGCAAAAGCCATGTAATCAATTGTAATCACTGTTTAGGGATGGGATTGTGTACTTTTGACTGTTTTAGGTTGCTGGTTTGATTCTGGCTTGAATGACTATTGACTATTTAACCT